AAAATGTGAATTGACTCTTTTTAGTTAATCTTCAAAGCGTATTTAATCCCCGATATACGAAAAATCATCCATCATTCAGAGCTTAAAAGTACTTATTTACTTAGTAGCTGAAATGGTATTAATGTACGGTTTTTTAAATTTCTCCACTGCAATAAAACCTAAAAACTTCAATTTTAACCGTTTTACCACTAAAATATTAAATCCCATTAGTTAATATGAGAAATTCTAGAACAATTTCCAAAGATAAACCACAACAATTAATTTCCCTAGATAAGTTAATACACACTACACACATTTACCCAAAATCTAAATGGTTACAAACCCTTCAGGGGGTTCGTCTTTAATGCATCCCACATCACACATCCCGACTCCCTTATTCGCTAAAGGGCAAAATCCTCGAGCGCGACATGAATCCCGCCACTTAGTCAAAAACCGCAGACGTTAAAAGCGCCAAGGGGCACGTTTTCCAACATAAGATCCAAACAATAAAGGGAAATAATGTGTAGAGGAGTGTTAAAGGTGAGATGAAATGAGGTGAAGCCAAAAGCTTGACATCTTTTGACTTTCGTTTAATAAAAGCAAATTAAGTTGCCTACGCACTAGATACAAGAATATTGCATAAACGTGTATTCTTGGTTGCCTATGTTACGCATAAAACCCAAACCTGAGATTTAATCATTCGTAGATACAAGTTGACTTTCAAGAAGATTTCACTCGGAAGAAAATCGCGCATTAGATGATGCGACTTGATGCGGGTATAGTGGCTTAGTGGCTTGACAAACATGGCGGCTAAACGAGCGCTGAGCGGACGCATAACGATAGTAATGCAGTTGCACTGGGAAAACGTCGAGTGTCGTTTGCACGTCGCGAGAACGATGAGCACGTGAACGAGGCGGGCAATTTTCTGCGACATTTTGTGCGACACCCTCGAAATTCGCCTCGTCTGTGTCTATCATCGCAAGCAGGAAGTGGAGAAGTGAGAGCGGGAAATTTCAGTGTTTTCGCAATTTTCTCGTTTCCTTTTCATTTTGTTTTATGACATGGCTGTCCTAAATGCATCTGTTGCCAAAATATACAAAGTGATTCATGATTTTTTGTAAATTTAAAAAAAAGTATATTTCAGCCACCTATGTTTCAATAAATGAACTAAAATCATTTTTAGAGTTTTTACAGTTTTCTTCTTTTTTCTTTAGAAATCTTCTGAAAAACTTTATAAAATAATAATATTAATGTTTCCAGGTGGTGCATTTCATCGAATCTGATCCCCATACGCATTTCCACCACTTTCCTCCGTTTCCCTCACACCCCGCTCATTTCTTAACACCAAGTTTTCTTTCGTTGTCTTGCTTGACTTGGTCCTTCATAAGTTATACTTCCTGCACTTCCCTAGCTTGCAATTCCACTGTATTTTCCCCCTGTTGGTGGTGTATCCTTAGTTCCTTGGTAACCGAAGCGTTTCGTAAGATACCGACGCGTCGGTCGTTCCACATTCCTGCTGTTATGCCGTTGATATTCAACTCCTACCTATCTACGGTAGATGAACATGAGCACGGAGGGTAGACTGCAGTGTTTCGTGTCGTTTGTGTCATTTTACCCCCACTCTCTTTTTTTCTCTCCGAATCGAGATATGCCGCAATGATAGAACAGAACTAAAAGTGCGATATGTATATACAGTAGAGTCCGGTTATAATGACATCGAAGGGAATTGACAAACACGTCATAATAAGCGGACGTCATACAAAGCGTTTTGTGAAATGAAAAGCCTTTTTTGTGTAAATATGTACGTATACATACATATTAAATCAAAATCAAAATTGCACGTAATCAGCACATTATAACACATTCAAGTGTATTTTTTACTGCAAGTAATCTGTAATTTTTGTCTGCTTTTGTTTTTTCATTTAATTAATTTTCTTGTGATTTTCGAAGCCTCTTCGGTTTCAAAACATTTGAATTGAACGATTGCTTAATACGGTTATGGTTCTTTAAAAAGCATTGAGATTGTCGAATGACCCACGCCAAATTCGGATTAATGGAAAATACGGATTAAGTCGTGGTCAAGGTGCTGCTGCCTGAATGCTTATATTTATTATTTAAGCATTTGGTCTTTCCGATAGTAAATATATAAATGTAATTTGACAATCATAAAAAAAATGTAGCAATAAATATAAAAAGTTCGCCACGTGTCGAACGTCGTCGGGTATCAACGAACATTACCGGAGGTGTAAAGAATCATGTTGGTCATTATAACCGAACATAATCTATTAAAAATGGGTCATAATAAGCGACATGTCACTGTAAGCGAAGTCATTATATCCGACTTTTTTATACAGAATTTTATATGAAAACCAAACTTGGTAGTGTAGTTACGTCATAATAACCGGTTGGTCAATATAAGCGGAGTCATAATAAACGGATTCTACTGTATATGCAATTTCAGTCTGAGAAGTCTGAAGGTCGATGCATATTCTGATGGCGGCGGTGGCGACACATAAAGCCATAAATAACAGCAAAACTTGCGAGGGTGGAAATTTCAAATTTCAAACTCAAACGTATACGATTTTTGCAATGGCGGAAGCGATGGTGATGGCATATCGTACCATTTGAGGGCGTAGAGGAGGATAGTTGCATGCGGTTGCAATATTTTCTGGAGACGACGCGAAACGGAGACATTCCAATGATAGAAATGTGGAGATAAGTGGAAAATTGGATAAGGACTCGTTTCGCGGGCGAAAAAACAGCGCAAAGTCGGAAATTTATTGCTTGGAATGGAGAATAAAACAAGACAAAACCTCGAAATGGCAGTAAACAAGTAGACAAACATGAAATAAACATAAAAAGGCACGGAACAATGCTATCTATCAAAATATATAGCAATTATTACCGAGTATTATATTGTCAACATCTTTTTATATTATTTTCGCAATAATTTCATGTAGAAATAAGCGAGAAAAAGAAGAAAAAAGAAAAATTATCCATTATTTGATTCGTTTCAAAGGAAATTCAAATGAAATAAAATCAAATAAAACACAAATATAGTAAAACACGTGCTGAATTCGCAATTCGCAGTTGAAAGCATCGCAATTTGCAATAATATCATTCGGCGTCGGATATGAATATAAAAATAATCATAATAACCGATAAAGTATCGAATCGGGCCCGAAATCGTCAAATTTATGAATGCAATTATCCACATTTCGCTTCACACCACTACAGACAACTATTCTCCAAGGAATTATATAGTTCAGGCACCAAAACAAGATAATTCCTTCAAAAAGCACTAAAACCTAAAATACTACTTCTTTTATAATATAATCTATAATATGAAAATAAATCGCAAAATCTGTTGGTAAACGCATAACTCAACAACGCCAAAACCAATTTGGCCAATTCTTTTTTTTAATTGTTTGTTAAAGTCCAAGGATGGTTTTTACGGCGAGAAAAATTCGAATAATTGCCGGGAAAACCTTAAAGACAGCCCTTTTTATGGGATAAAAGTTGGCATTGAGATTCAATCATAGTTATAGTTAAATAGTTGAATCTGAGATGGAGCGCTGAAGTGCATTATTAGCAATTCTTTATATAATTAATTTCTTTAAAATAAAATTACAAATCTAATTGATGGAATTTTGTGTGTAATATATATTTTAATTTGATCTTGTATCGCTGGAATAACTATATTTTGCAAGTTTCGCAAGTTGCATACATAAAACGCTAATCGTACTCGTAAACTTGAAACTCCGAATGCCTGGACCCAGCTGCATACATCTGAATCTCCTTTCCACTTTGCAGTTTACACTTCCAGTAGTTTACGCCCAAATTCGGCTCATAACCGAAGGTGGGCCACAGCCGCGCAGACAGATCCGCAGACAGCAGCCGCAGCTGAGTCTCTCCGCATTGAGAATGAGGAATAACTGTACAAGGACATAAATTCGCTGAGCACCGCATCGCAGCCATTATACGCGCGAAATGAATTGTCGAATAGCGGCGCACATCTCGCATGCATCTGGTGCGCGCATGAATTACGACGCTTAATTATAATGCGAATTGCGCACCAAGAAATAAATCCGACTTGTAGACGTTGAAGGGTGGATGCAAAAATCTAAACAAAGAAAATTTGTATTTTCTGTTTTAATCCTTTGGTAAACTTTGAAATTTATCTCCAACACTTCAAGCCACGTTGAAAGATTTTTAATTGGCTCATTAATAGCCCTTGTGTATGCTGTGACTCATCACTTTTTCGCTTAACGACCCCCGAGCGCGAAAATAGTCAAATACTAAAAGTTTGTTAGTTTTCCGTTGATTTATGTCGCGCAGCTTGAAAATAAACAACGCAACCAACATTGCACGACGTGTAAACTTTTACGATGCATGGAAAACATACATTTACGTGTTTACTCATCGTGTAAATTTTGTTATTTTATTTATTGCGTTGTTGCGTTGTACTCAAACACCCTGTAAAACAAAGGTGTGTATAATATGTGTGCATTATGAGTGTGAAACCCGGATGGTATCATTCCATATTACCCGTTCCACTCGCGTCGGAAGGCCCGCAAAGCGGAAATTATTTATTTGCCCGCGGGGAGCGCGCCCCCGCCGAAATTTCGCCCCTAACCACGCGAGTCGACAACACAATATCATTTACAACCAACGTCGACGCCAAAGTTCTCCGTGTTCGACGCTTCGGAACAACGGACGTAAATTAAACGCCGGACTCGACTTTGCTCTTTACGCTTTGCAGCAGCCAGTGTTTGAGCAAGTCAAAAACTTCAAAGCAAGATTAAACCTCTACCACAAAGTAAAACAAAGAGTTAATTAATTAATCAACTCCATGCGCCGTAAATCAAAGCTTTATAAGCTTCACATTTTTGTGAAACACACAATATGTAAGCAAAAGTGGTGTTGCGCTGTAGGCAACTCTGTATACATCAAAGTACGCACTTCGGTGTTTAGTCAATAGGGGGAATGAGAACCGCGCGAGCGTAGAATAAGTTGCCTACCTATTGGGCGTCATTTGCTCCTGCTGCGCTGGTAAATTCGTCGGCGGCTGCAGTTGCTGCTGGATGGCGGCGCGCTGCTTCGCCGCCTGTTTGTGCCGCGAGAGCGCGAAGAAGAGCGCTAGGATCGCCTTCAGGCGGCCGTCGCGCAGATCCTGACCCGAGACGCTCTCAACGCCGGCGACATGCTGCGTCCGCAGTGCGCTCAAGCACAGATTTATGTTGTCCAACTGCAAACAGAGAGAAGAGACGTTACATTAATAAACATGCCTGTTAACTTTTCAACTTTTTATTCATTCCACGGCGCGCAGAGTCAAAGGGCATGTGAAACAAAACACAATCAGATGCAAGACTGCGAACGTGTGTTGTAAACGAACAAAAATGAATGCGGAATAATGCTTATGATGAAAGCGATGTGCACGGTGCCAAATATGGTTTGATAATAATTAATCCGACAGTGATATGACCTAAAACGTATTTTATAAAAGTATTAATTTAATAAATATGAATTATATGTATGATTGGTTGCCTATGTTAAAATAAAAATATAACTGACGCATAGGTGACGCCGCTTTGTCTACGCGCCCACGATTTCCGAAGTTAACTAATAACAACTTTGTTGTCGATTTGCAACAATTTGCAGCGCGAATTATGCACATGTGCAAGCGATGTGTCATGCCGGTTGGTACTGTGCCTTTTATTTATCGTGACTTTCTCTTTGCACGCCCTCCGCATGCTTTTGATAAAATAATCCAAAAATCGTAACAGAACGCAAACAATCTTTAATACGTTGATAAAAAAAATGTTATACACTAGAGAATAACTTACAACATGCAAGAATGTAAATTATTCATAAATAAATTCGTGAAATGCTTAAAAATACCAAAAAAGTAAGAAATTAATATGTTAATACTTAATTTTGCAAATATTTAACAAAATTTAACCAGAATTCGTATTTTGTAACGAATTGTTGAGTTGATTTATATCCAGAAGGTGTTTCGAGCTTTCAAGTTGGTAAGGCCCTTTCTAAGTAGTTGAAATTTATGTGGAAAATGCACGCGAGCGCAATTTCCTTATTGTATCAGCTTGAGCACTAAATTATCCTCAGAAGAATCCGAAACATTTCAGAAATTCAATTCAATTTCATTTGTCTTACATTCTTTGAATCAAAAAATCTGTATTTAACTCAAAAATATCTATAATATAAAAATAAATCGCATAATTAGTTGGTAAGCGCATAACTCAACAACGCCAAGACTAATTTGGCCCATTCCTTTTTTAAATGTTCGTTAAAGTCCAAGGATGGTTTTTACAATGAGAAAATATAATAATTTGAATAATTGCTGGGAAAACCCTAAAGACAGCCATTTTCTATAAGATAAAAGTTGGCATTAGATTCAATCATAGTTATAGTTATTAAGTTGAATCCGAGATGGCGCGCTGAAGTGCATTATTAGCAATTCTTTATATAAATAATTTCTCTAAAATAAAATTGCGAATCTTATTGATAGAATTGACACATACTATATCTAAAACAAGAAAGTAAAAACAAATTACATTTTTATTAAACACAACCGGAACGAAGTCGCGAGCAAAAGCTAGTACATAAATATATTTCAAGCAACGTCATATTTCCAAGAAAGTCAAAGGTGCATTGAACATACCCGTTGAAGATATGTAATCATGTAATAAATGTAATGTATACGATAAGTACGGAATGCTTTGCATAAACTCAGTAGTCACGTGTTGACGCTGGCTATTAACAGCCATTAACACTTTTTGTAAGTGAATACGTTTTCGCGAATGCACGCAGAAGAATGCATTCTGTAAACATAACCTAAAACATATTAATATGCCTTTTAACATAGGAAAACACACATTTAACCTCAAAATTAAATTCTGTGTGGCATCATTCTGTGTTTATTTAAGTGGAGAATATAAATAAATACGAGATGTCTGTGGAGTTTTGTCTTTTCCATTTTACTTCTAGTATCAACCCACTACATGCACAGTGTAAGTTTTAACGAACCTGCTTCAACTTCAACTCGAACTCCCAAGAATACATGCGATGCATGTTCACTTGATTTGCATCTTGTGTTTTGTTTGGTTTTCATTTGTTTGTACCTTTTATTTTATGTTCTACGCCCTTATATCATGAACGAATGTCTTTACTAACTTAAATAAAGTTTTTTAAAACTATTTTCAACCATTTCCAGCAATAAATCTTTAAATTACACGTAAAAACTTAAATAAGAAACCTAAAATGCAGAAATTGAGTTATGCACGTTAGGCAACCAAATATACTATTCACATGTATTACATTAAGTGTGTTGTGTGTGTGTTGCTTCACTAATCGCGTAGGTGTCCTCTTAAAACATTCATTATAGCGTAAAGGTTTGACTGAGAAATAAGATTTAAATCTATGGCTACATTTTCAGTGGGTGAAACAGAATTATAATCGTTTCCTTCTTAACCGATCCTAGAACTTCATTAAATTATGACCAGTGTATGCAACATGACTAACAAATCTGTGCAGCGTTGCGATTTCTAAGCTCTGAACAGATTGCTGTGTGCAACATCGATAATAATAGCCTTTAAAGGCTTTTAAGCTCTTGAAGCAATTTCCACGCGATTATAAGCGAACACTCTTGAGAAATAATTTTAGGTTGATGGTGAATATGTTGAGTCATCAAACAAATCAAAGAATGAATTCAATTCAATTTCAAAACTTATATAATTTAATTCATTTTGTATTTTTACTTTAATCGTGTAAATTTAACAAAATGCGACGTCATGATAGTTAATTGTACACTAGTGTAAAATTGGTTGCCTAGGGTGTAATAATAATAAATTTCAGGCATAACCTTTTTCCATAGACAACAGACAAAACATAATTTCCAATAAATAACGTATCATTGAATCGAAACTGATTCGTGCAAATTGAAAAATCGACATTGCAACGATGACAATAAAAACTGCAGCATGTTTCAAGTCTATTAAAAAAAAAATGCACAATGCATTCATTACTTTATTCCATTACGACTGACGAAATGGAAAAACAACAAACGTGAGGTTCATGGTTTCATGCACTGGTGCATGTCCTGCTACGTCTATATTCGCTTTAATTTCAATTTTCAGTTCGATTAAGCATCGCATGCACTCGGCAACAGTCTGCGACTCATAGCAATACATGAAACAAACGAATACAAACCGTGATTTAAATCAATACCAACACCATTCACTATAGGCAATCATAGTTATTTGCATTGTGGGTTGCCTATAGTGAAATTATTTGATATGAAATATCCTGTATAGTCATGATACGGTATTTCAACCTCGAGTAAAAAAAGATGAGTAAAAATAAAACTCAGCACCTCGGGGCAACGAACAAGTAACTGATGGGATAATCAGACGCATAAAATCGATTTATGGTCATAAAAAACCTAGTAAATTAAAAACAGCACAGCAAATTATACGCAGATTGAAGGAGTGTGCTACAAAAAAGTTGCTGGACAACTTATCTCGAGACTTGACTAAACAATGTTGATACAAAAATTATTCAAATATTATGCGTCTTATTTGGTTATTATTTAACGATGTAGAAATCAAGGTTAAGCATAAATCATTAAAACAAAACGGTAAACGGATAAAAAATATATAATATAAAAATAATCGCAAAATTTGTTTGTAAGCGCATAACTCAACAACGAATATACCAATTTGGTCAATTCTTTTTTTTTTAATGATTATTAAAGTCCAAGGATGGTTTTTACGTGGAGAAAAATTCGAATAATTGCAGGGTAAACCCTAAAGGCAACCCTTTTCTATACGATAAAAGTTGGCATTGAAATTCAATCATAGTTATAATTAAATAGTTGAATCCGAGATGGCGCGCTGAAGTGCATTATTAGCAATTCTTTATATAATTAATTTCTTTAAAATAAAATTGCGAATTTTATTGATAGAATTGACACATACTACTCGTATGTTTAGAAGAAGAGAGTAAAAACGAATTACATTTTTATTAAACACTACCGGGACGAAGTCGTGGGCAAAAGCTGGTATTAAAATAAATTTGTATTCAAAACGCGCTTTTTTTTAAACAAATTTTTTGTAGTCAAATAATTTTATCAACACTATAAATTAAGTAATTGCATTGTTATCATCATGCATCATCACACAATACTTTTATCAACACGGATGTGATTAAAGTATTGATGAACTTTGATGTTATCACCTAAGTGCATTGTAATTGACTAAATCTATTAGTTGAGTAGCGAAACAATATATTTTCATCGATGAAGTCATAATTAACCACAATATTGACATTTTAGATTATTTGTCGTTAAATAAATCTAGATAATATAATAATATCATTGATAACAAGATAATTGTATACATTTATATAGACTTTTGAAATAAAAATGAAAAAAGTACAGGTTATGTTGATAGTCATGTGACGATTCGTGAGAAATAGGGATCTAAGCAACCAGATTAACATACACGTGATTATCATACAGGATAAATAAGGTGATATTAAGCACGTAGCCAAATATAATCAACTAATTTTATCTGTTATCATATTATCGTAAATATCTACACGTATATAAATGATGATTATTCAAAAAATATTAACAGTGCTCCGTCTCACCTATACCTTACGCCTAGGCATACAATTTGAGAAATTCTGCAATTTACAAAGGTAAATTTTTTTAACAAAAATCAAAAACATGGTGTTTTCTTTTCTAAACACAAGCAATCAGCAAAATTTAAATCTTAAATTACAGCAGTCCTAAAACGATGTCAAAATATCCGGAACCCATGGAAGTTGATCCTGACGAACCTTCTTTTTATATTTCTGAACCCATGGAGGTTGATCCTGACGAACCTTCCTTTTATATTTCTGAACCCATGGAGGTTGATCCTGACGAACCAGATTTTAATCAAGTTTCAGATTTTCATGTTTCTCGCGGCACTAGATTTATTAATCGCAAATTAGAAAAAAAATTAAATTACAGAATTTCCAAAAGTAAGCCCAGGTATTCCGCATATCCAAAAATGGTCCAAAGAACAACCATGAACCTGAATTTATGGAAGTTGAAGCGGACATATCATTTGTTAGCTCCATGTAATGTTTCTGTGTTAATCAAGTGTTCTATGTTTCAACGCTCTGGAAATGGGTTTCAAAGCAAGCCAAATATCTACATGCGTGTCTCAAAAATGTTGAAGACAATAAAACTCTACCAAATCCTCCAGTTATCAATACTCGAGATGATGGTAATTTTATTCTAATAATTTATTTTTTTCAAACAGAACAAGGAACCAAGCATTCCGTAGGAAATTATTTCAAAAAAAATAATTTATTTCATTTATTTAGTAAAATTTAGCAAAAAAAGTTTAAAAAAACATCAGTTTAAATACACTGAGAAAAATACTATATATTTAAAAAATAATTTAATAAAAGAAGAAATAAATTTAGTTGAAGAATTTTTTGCAATTTTAAACCCAAAATACAATATGATTCCTGTTTTTATTTATTAACTAGCTTTTGTCCGCGACTTCGTTCCGGTAGTGTTTAATAAAATGGTAATTCATTTCTACTCTCTTGTTCTTGACATAGTATGTGTCAATTCTCTCAATAAGTTTCGCAATTTTATTTTAAAGAAATTAATTATATAAAGAATTGCTACTAATGCAATTCAGCGCGCCATCCCGGATTCACTTATTAAACTATAACTATAATTGAATCTCAATGCCAATTTTTATCCTATAGAAAAGGGCTGTCTTTAGGGTTTTCCCAACAATTATTCGAATTTTTCTCGGCGTAAGAACCCTACTTGGACATTAACGAACATTAAGAAAAATAATTGACCCAATTGGTCTAGGCGTTGTTAAGTTATGCGCTTACCAAGAGATTTTGCGATTCATTTTTATATTATAGATTAACGGTTTATTGGTATTTCGCTAAGTCGAAACCGTTGCTAACCACAATGACACACATCACCAATAAATAAATGTTGCGTATCTATATTTGGAGACAAAGCGGACGCGGCAGGAAGTCGATTAAAATTCTATTGTTCTGACTACAATTTCGGCCATCACACTAAACATTAATTAAACTCAATCAGAATTAATTGATGCGTATGCACAATAAACCGACTACAAATTGACGAGGAATTTTGTGGCTAACAAAATTTTGAGAATTTAATTATCTCAATTAAACAATAATTAATTCTTAGTAAACATTAAATTTAAAACAGAAATAAGTCATAAATTTAAAAATAACAAAAGATGAAAATTAAATTACGAACTATTATTACCAAGTGATTTTTTACGCCTTTTGCAATTCCAAGTACCTAAGTTATGATTTTACGAGTCGTATTTTACGTGCTATATGCATTTCGTATGATTTTATGATTGCGCTTTGCGTCGCGGTTCGTTATAAGTATATTTCTGTTTTTATTATCATTGACTTTTAATTACTATCGACTTGCGCGCATGCCACATCTCGCTTGCGGCGCGGGCGCAAGATCGCAAAGAGAATAAATAACGTCCTAACAAGCGGCGGCGAGTCGCTAGCAATAAAAATTTATTACTGTTTGATTTTCAAACATACACATACAATGCGTTCGTGTTGCGTAAATAAAAATGTTCTTAGTTCCCAGGATGTATTCACGTGTGTGTGTGTGTGTGTGTACTTGAATAACAACTACATTTGTAGTAATCACAAGTTACAAGTCACTTCCAGCAATTCGATCAAGATTAGTGGATATAAATACAAAAGCAGCGCAAACACCGTAATTACATGACGGTGCAAATAAATGTTAAATCTGTAAACTGTAAGCAATCATTTCGAACATGATTAACCTCAAAATGCTAAATGTAATTATATAGGTTATGTTTATAAGTATTTTTGGGTTAATATGTTGTATTGATTGTGATTCACTTTGTTGTAATCACCTGAGTGCATTGAAATTAACTAAATGTTCCACTTGAATAGCGAAACAATTCATTTTCAACGTCATAATTAATCACAATATTGACAAAATAATTTATCTATTAATAAATAAATCAAGATAATATAATAATACAATTGATGATAATATAATAAAACAATTGTGTAGATTAATATAGACTTTTAATGTGCTTTTAATATAAAAATTAAAAAGTAAAGGTTATGTTCGTGTCATGTGACGATTCGTGAGAAATAGGAATCTAAGCAACCAGACTAGCAAATATGTGATTATCACACGCTGTGAGCAAACGAGCAATGAATATTTTCTTGTATTTAGTTGTAATACTTCAACAGGTATTTACTTAGTGATTAATATTCAAGAAGTTGTCTAGTTTGCACGTTTACACTCGCTAAAACACAAAAGAATGCAAAAAAAATAAAAATAAACTTTTTTCTAAATAAAACAAGTTGATATTTATAACTCAATCATTCGAAGAAAAAAAAAATGTGCGAAACTTGTTTTTCTGTTTGTAATTTTCACCAGGACGTATAAAAAAACCTTGAATTTTCAATGAAGATTGAAAATGAAGATGCATGACCACAAATTGCCTGCTTCCGACATTAACATTACGAGAATGATGTAATAGTTGTTATTGTAACAACAAATATCCAAACAAACACAAAAATATTTGTTTTGTTACAAAATATTTTATATTTTCTACACGGTAATTGATTTGTTATATCATTCACAGTTACAAATAAGTTGTCATTATTTTTTTGTTAAATTAAGCAATAAATCCCATCGCAACGGAAAACTGAAACCACGCAAGGTAATTGTAAGTCGAAGTTACAATCAGTAGACACCGATAATGGTAATTTAAGGAATTATGTAACATTCAACAAGTTGAAGTAGGCGCAATTTGTTACGTGTTATAAGTTCGTAATGTACACGTTACGACCGTGAACATTGAAGTTATTGAATTGGAACATTTCTTTTTTATACTATAGAAATTGAATCAGTTATAATGTAAGTACGCAACAGAACGTATTACGGTAGAAAAAGCAGTATAAATATAATATTCTTGTAATAAAATAATAGAATCACGTATAAATCAGTAAAAAAAATTATTTCTGTAGCTGTGTTTGATTTTTATTGAGTAAATCATGTTTTTATACTTTGAGTTGTTATTTTGAAGGACATTTTATAAATATTTCTGCTTTGGCGTACATCAACAATTAATTTTTATATTTTTTTAAGTTTTTACTTTAATAAACTACATAAATATTCATTTTAACTTCAAATAAATTGCTTATAATTGCACTAAATCATTATATTAATTACATTTAATCTTCGCTCATTTACAACAAATATATTTACAACTTTATCAACTTTTTGCAATAGATGTATGCATCAACAGATGTGTTGATTAAGTATAAACGTATAAATCAGTAAAAAATAATATTTCTGTTGCTATGTTTCATTTTTATTGAGTAAATCATGTTTTTATACTTTGAGTTATTATTTTGAAGGACATTTTATAAGTATTTCTGCTTTTACGCGCATCCACAATTCCTTTTCAACATTTTTTGAAAAAATAACTTTTTACTTTAATAAACTACATAATTATTCATTTTAACTTAAAATAAACTACTTATAATTACGGCAAATCATTAAATAAACTGCATTTAATCTTCGCTCATTTAAAACGAATTAATTTACAATTTTATCAACTTTTTACAAAACATGAATGCATCAACAGAATTATTTCGCAATTGCAAATACTTCATTGATTGATGTATTGCTTAACATTAACAATCCAGCGTCTCTAATAACAGCTACTTATTTTCGCAATTCATTATTCATCATTGATTGCTAGTCAGTCTATAAGCAACAGATTGCAATGCGCAATGTGTAATCGGTAATCTGTAATCTTTTTTTTTATTATTATTTCTATTGCTTGTGAATGACTTCAATGTTTTGCCGCTTCAACGCTTCCGCACATGCTGGCAATCAAAGATTACGTCGCATGCTCAATAAACGCAATAAAATGCGGCGAAAGTGCACATTGAAAAACATGTCGGTGCAATTTTCATGCTGCGCGGATGTGATTGCTAATCGCAGGATGATTTTAATTATGATGGCAAGCAATTATTACCAGAAACCTGCGATTAGTACATATTTAGCAGTTTCCTGTTATTACATAAAAAATAAATCAATAAAAATAAATAAAACACAGTTTTAGATACTTAGGCATTGCTTAATCTGAGATGTTTCTTAAATTTACTTACAATTTGTTTATTTTTTCATCAAATTCAAAGTTAGTTTTATTAGTCACTGGATGCAGCAACACCTTTTAAATATTTATAAAATGTATTTTTACACCACAACTAGAACAAGACCATCCTGAAAAACCTGCCCTCGTTTTTTTTTTAATTTCCTGTTTGTAACATTTGAACATCCCACCAACAAAAAAGTTTAATTTCCTTTTTACATCGTAAAACTATCTTACAGTAACAAGCAAACATTTAAGAAAAACTTTTCGCTCAAGATTGATCCAATTGAACTAACTCACAACATGTTAAACTTTCAACTCTTATTATTTTTTTTTCGTTTCTTTTCGATCCGGCATGATTCAATCGCAGCGAATTCAAGTTTATTTCAACTCAAGTGCAACTGCAGTTTCAAGTTACGTCATTACGCCCGGCGCGTCTCGCGAATGCCGATTTCGTTATCCTTATTTCCTTATCCGTCGACGTGAGTAAACTCTCGGCAAGAACAAACACCCCGCGACGACTAAATTGACACAGGAGACGTACAAACACCCGTAAAAAGAAAGAAACTTTAAAAACTACGAATTAACACAAGTTAAACTTGCGCAGAGTACGAAAATTCCAGGTAAAAACAAACAAAACTCAACCGTAGGAAAGTAAACAACGTTTCTTTCGTGAATTACAAGTTTAAACTCGACTGCAAGTCGCGATAACAAAGAATTAAATTTATTTATACTAAAAATATACGTTTATTTAACTCACGTGAATGATTCATGTCTTATAATCCAAATGTTTCGTTTTCAAAGGCACGTCGTGATGATAACAACAGTCTTATCATATAAAACTGCGAGTACATCAAAACACAACAAAATAACAGTTAGAATATGATTAATGTCTTAATTTATATCACAAGCACGTTTTATATTATTATCGCAATTTCTTAGTAATTTTATTATTAAAATATTAATTTCACAACAATCGCACCGACAGGTTTATTGCGAATATTGTTAAATATTGGAAAACACTACCAACAGGTTGGCACGCGGTTAAAAAACGTAAAAAACACGATAACAACGCGTAAATATTTGAAATATTAGAAATACTAATACATGTGATAATGTAACGAATGTATAAATATAAAGCACTTGAGTTTGTATTGTTGTATCACTGTTTGTTTTGTGTACAATAAACGAAAACGCGATTCTCGCGAGTTTTACGAAGGTATGTGCGCGGACGACGCGACGTCGCGTACGTATCTGACCGGTGCTGTGCTGCACTCTAGTAGGCAGCGTGCTTGGATCACTTTTGGTCAAAAGTCTCGCGCGTGGGGAGCGATTGAGGTGTGCGCGGCTATGGAAGACCTGAAACACGGCGAACGTATTCACGCTACAAAGTGGCGAGAGGAGTCAAACTTCTAGATCTTTAAGATATAGGTACTCAAACGCATGATATGAGATGCTGTTGAGCTTACCGTTGCTTTTTATTTTCTATTTCAAGGTTAGGTTATGTTTGGAAATGTAAATAAATACAAGAAGTGGTGAGGTAAGAGATACAAAGCAGAAAACTAAACGGAAGAAGGTAAAAAGTAAACAGAATGTTTTTAGATATGTTTTAGGACCACCCTTAATTTAATTCGGGCTAAATTTCGATATTCTCTTGGGTAAAATTTGGATTTTAGAGGATTTAACATGATTTCCAATGGATTTATTACAACATATTGGGTTGGTTAGTTAGGATGGATGTTCGGCCCAAGTCCACAGCGGTAAATTAGTGTCAGTGGGTGAACGAACCGCGCCATCGACAAAACGGCCCGCCGCTGCTCTCGGGGAAGAAGGGAAGATATAGATTAATAGAGAGTGAAGAGAAAAGAGAAGCGAGCCGTGGCGGAATGAATGAGCCGAATAAAGCGATTCGTTTAGGCCCATCGCACCTCACCTCACCTCCCCTCACTCCGCTGTTGACCGGGAATCTAGATTTTAGATGAAGATGAACACACTACTACAGAACTGCAGTGGTGGTCACGAGGGTTTTGAGAGCGTGCGATTTACGAATGGTCAATGGAAGGTAAAAAAATTTATCAGATCCGGAATTTAAAAATAGAAATTTTTGTGTTTTTTAAATTAGTTTTGTCTTTTGATACGGTTCTGTGAAGTGATTGATTGATGCCGAAAGAGATATAGGCGAACAATCGACGTAACGAATGGCGATTTAGGTCAATTTGGGGTTCGAAGCGTTCACATGCACCCGGTTGTGTGGTGTCCGAGCAGATAAAAATGCGTTCATGCATTATAATTATTGGCAATTTCACGAAACGCACATCGGTATTTTTTGCCGGCGGGAAAATAAAATTTTCACTTAATTTCTAATCAAATGTAATAAATGATAAATTTATAGTTAGGTATTTATGTTTAAAATTTGTTTGTAAATATTTTTAAATCAAAAAATATTCGAAGAAGAAATTTGTGATTCGATGCACATCACAAACATAAATCGGAAGTAATGTCAGTGCACGTTTTCACGGTTCGTCAATTTTTGCGCAACGTTAAAGTGCGCAATCGAATTTTACGTCGTGCCGAAGTTGGGAAAATGCGAAACCTGGAAACTCTCTGGCTAAAAATGCTATTCTACAAACTTTCGGGTGCATTTTCCGATTACGATTGCTGATGCTGATTTCCTTCCTGTTTTGTTTTTATTTTTATTTTTGTTTTATTTTTACTTTTTTAGGAATAAATGTAATAGCAACTAATGTTGATGCGGTTTAAAGAAGACACAAAAGTGGAAATTAATTGGTCACTTTCATTTTATGATGTATAAAGCGTGGAAAATCAACTTTACGTTCACGTATCTATTGTGGAACATAAAAGGGCGTGAGTGAAATAAAAACCAAGGAAAAGTGATAGCCATCAATGATTAATGGTCGCACGGTCAACCCCTTTGTGTTTTTATTGCACCCTTTTTGAAATAATTATTTATCAATTACTTTAATCCATCACATCCATTAAATTTTTAAACATTTTGTTAAATATAAAGTGCTGCCCTCTACAAAGTTTAAAGATTTTTTGGTAGATATTTTAGGAAATTTTTTAATAACTGCTAAATAATTATAGGAAAATACTAATTTCACAATTTGTATACAAAGTGAATCAAAATTCAACTTTATAAGAGCATTTTAGGTTATGTTAATGCTTCGCAAGCTCCAGTTTTGCCAAATGTATCTTTATCTATCATGTAACACTAAAAAAACATAATTTAATTTTCTGTTATAAAATGCTGTGTGTTTTCTACTGTAAATATAACAAAATTACGTAATATTTGCGACTTTACTTTACTTTTTCGAGCAGATAACAATTGTTAATATTTATTAATACTTAAGTCGCACGCAATTGTCTATTCAACTCTTAAAATGCATAGAAAATAAATTAACTAAAATTATTTACGATTAGTAACATGAAATGTCCATATTTCTACGGGCATTTACATTTACATTGCACTTGGCGCAATCAATAGATACTAATAATAATAAAGTGCCCATTGTTCGGTCTGTCAGTATCTGCATTGATTGTTATGCAGCTACGCTATTCAGTGATTCATTTTCCATTCATAACAGCGGTTGCATAACAGTTAATTACAATTACATAGAAATGGTTAAGCATAAATACAAATTACTCATACGCACAAGACAATAAAGAAATTAAAACACTAAAAGTACATTTAAGAGGTTACAGGTTATAATATAATATTTTGAGGTTATAATTTCGTTTATGTCTTGTATCTATTGCATTTCATCAGACATCATCTCATGACTGCATAAATATGAGTAGAATATCATCTATTAGATTGTTTTCATGTCTCACATGCTTATATCCCGCACGTTTGCATGTTTGGCATGTATTACACATTAAATGCGCTATCGGCGTCGCGGGCTTCGATCTAAATCGTCTTATGTTATGAGAGCGCTTCGTTTCACTCATACAAAAATGTTATAAGCGTTTAAATCTTATGATCTCAAGAATATCTTAAGAGAAACACACATTTTAATATCTATTTATGAGTCACTAGACATGTATCGATTTCACATCTAAAGATGTGATTTGATTATACATTCATAACGAATGCAATTCATAGCAGTGAAAACATTTCTGTATTCATTGACTTTTGTTGACACTGTCAAGGTTAGAAAGATTAAACCGACTTCACACCACAGCTGTAGAAATTAATTTTGTGTGAAATAAGCGTAAATTTTCAACTGGCACGTAAATGAAATAAAAATAAAATTTTAAACGATAAAAAAGTAAGTGTAATCAAGGAAATTTAATTGAGACAATTTGTAATCCCTGTGAACTTGACCAAACAGCAATTTGTCGCTTGTTTTTGCACAGATTTGTCACCGAAATTTCCATTCGAAGTCAACTAGCTTGTGTATTCGGCGTGAAATTCGCGACGTGGATTAATCGTCGACATAAATCGAAAATCACGAGCGAAAAAAATTTAATTGCGTGCACAAAAGTGAAAGGGGTGGCTCCCTAATATACGGAAACTAAAGTCTAATATGTCACGCATATAATTTATCAAAAAATATACAGGGTGTAAAAATATATTTCACCCGCTTTTGCTCGCGACTTCAATAAAAATTTAATAAAAATGTAATTCGTTTTTACTCTCTTGTTCTAGACATAGTATGTGTCAATTCAATCAATAAGATTCGTAATTTTAATTTAAACACATTAATTATAAAAAAAATAGCTAATAATGCAATTCAGCACACCACCTCGGATTCAACTATTTAACTATAACTATGATTGAATTTCAATGCCAACTTTTATTCCAGAGAAAAGAGCTGTCGTTAGGGTTTTCCCGGCAATTATTCGTATTTTTCTCGTCGTAAAAACCATCCTTGGACTTTAACAAACACTTTAAAAAAGAATTGGCCAAATTGGTCCAGGCGTTGTTGAGTTATGCGCTTACCAACAGATTTTGCGATTCATGTTTATATTATAGATACTTTACGATTGTAATTCAATTTTAATTTCAAATTTTAACATATCCATCAGGTATGAAATTCAAGGCCAATTGAGATCGAATAACAAATTTTCCATGAATCATGATGATGATGATGATTGTGCTGCGCAGAGCGCCGAAATTGATTAGCGGAAATTAATCGCAATGCTGCAGCCCGGACGTGGTCGGCACAGTGAGGTAGGTTGAGCACCCGCGCACGTAATGGTATAACACTAATGGGATTATGCAATATTCAAATCGAGACGCGGCTGGATTACCCGAGTGGATTACAAATGTCGACACTAGCCGAACTAAAATCAAAATTAATCACTAAACCAATAAGAGTTTACTAAACACACTTACCAATGGATAAATCGTTGAGCAATTTGTGAAATTTTTGTGAATATTTTTTTACAAAAGTTAATTAAAACTGTGATTGCAAAATGCAAATTATGCGTGGTAATTACACCGCGTCAGAGACAATGCTCAGCGGCGGCAAATCAAACGTGATTGTTGTGACAGCTGTTAATTTTCTCATTACTCGGCACATCACATCATTAATATGTTATTATGACTACTGATTGCTCATCAGCGAATCATTGTGCATTGAAAATTTATTTATCAGAGGAAGAGTACGTTCAAAATACGAATATAAATTCGAATTTGAGGTTGTTTATTTGTTTGTTACGCTTTCAGATGAAAACTATTGAACCTATTTTGATGAATTTTGGTATAGAAATATTTTTGACATTGGAGAAGCGAATAGGCTACTTTTTGTTGCAAAAATATAACGCAAAAGGTGAAAAATAAGGGTTAAAAGTTGATATGGAATTTATCGCATTTATAGTTATATAATGCAAATGTAGATGGCGTCAAAGTGCATCAATAGCAATTTTTATGTATTTAAATCAAAATGGAGAATATTATTGACTGATTTGTCAAATAATTATCCCAAAAATCGAAGACAAAAGCCAATGAATATAATTTTCACTATAAAACTTTTAATTTATAAAAACTTACCATTTGTGAAGGCGTCTTTGGCTTCCTATTGATATCTGGTATTTTTTGGCACACTGTAAACAAATAAACATGTATTAACAACAGCTGGTATTAAATATAATTAAATTATATTGAAATACATTATTGTTCATTTATGGGCCCAAACAAATTTAATATCATTCATTGTTCTAAAAATGTTTGGGAGTGGTAACATACACACGGACAATAATTGAATAAAATTTTATGAATAATTTATGAGCAATCTCGTGTAACAAATTTAATAACTCAGACGTGGCGCCACGTTAGGCGATTGTTTTTGCCGCTAATAATAATGCATTAATGTCGGAGCCTGCGCGCAGTCGGCCCTTTGACATTGCCCCCCTTGACTCAGGAAGCTTTTTGTGTTTCGTTTTACCACTTTTCGCTTTGTCGCGCCGCTTCTTCTCTTGGTCATCTCGCTAGGCATTTTATCTTGTTTGTTCGCATCATTATTTGAATGTACATAAAATTCAAAATATAAATACAAGGTGTTTCTATTATTTTGGTTTTGTTTTTATTATTTTTTCTACTTTTACTTTTAAATTGGTATTTTTTTCACGGTTTTGAGGCACAAAAAGTGGTACTTTAAACACGGACGGACCAAGCTGTGAGTAAAGTACTTCAGCCACGGACTTTAGTCACGAAGTAGAGCAGGGTGGTCAAAAATTGCAGATATGTCATGTAGGTATACGTTAAAAAATATTTAAAAAAACACCAAAATATCAAAAATCTCAAAATTTAAAAATACGAAAACCAGATAAATGCATTTTTCATATTTTTCATATGCATATGCATTTAAAATGCATTTTTAATTTTGTTTTTGTGGTTTTAGTCATGCACAAAAACAAAAATTTAAATCCGCTCATAAATACTTAACGATTTCTAAAGATCTCCTATAGTAGCCATAACAAATGAGTGGTTGTTAATATTGTTCCGCACTTCAAATTCATTTCGACACAGATCACTAAAATACGAGCTTATTACCAGCGCCAAGCCTGAAGAATAACCCGAAGCGTTTCTTAAAACTATTACTCCTCAACTCTCTAACTTGGTTCGCATTACGTACTTACGCAGCGGCCATGAAAAGAATGAAAAAGTCTTAAAGTCGAGACCCCGATGCCGAATGGTGTAAAATGAGTAAAGCGGGCGCATAAACGTCGACGTAAATCAAACATATTTTCGCTTTTATTTCCCATTCGATTACACTGGATTACAACGCCACTTCGCCGGAGCGCGCTTGAATAATATCCGCAGGATTGGGTTCTAATGCCTTCAATATAAGTAGATTCGGGTGGATATTCTCGGCGCTCGTAAATTATGAACGCTTCACTTTAACATTTTTATGCTTTATGTCTTTTTATATGTTTGTGCGGGAACGGAGTCGAAAAATCCGCATGAAAATGGTAATTACCGGTGGAACACTGAGAAACCAAATCGAATTCAAATGAGAATATTGAGAAATTGCAAGGAAGCGTGCCAAACATTTCAAAATCTCATCTGGAGAAATGTGAATCATAAATTATTTAAATTAAAATTTTGGAAGATTTATTGCAATGCGCCATCTATATTTTATTAAAAAAACTTTTGACCAAAAAATATTAAGTTTGAGATATTCACATATAGATGGCACATATAAACTTCTTAACTAGAAGACACACATCTTTTTAACTACTACCCAGATTGTGTGATTGACAAACTAAGATCATACTTCACAGGATCATTTCTGTAGTATATCTTCGCATACTCTTCACAAACGTGTAGAGTTATTGCAACCATGATGACGAGGCACAACTCTGCATCTTGAGCGTGAGGCTGCAATATGCGTATTCTCCGGATTACTCATATTGTCACGATGATCGTTCAGATCACCTTTGGTGGTTTTACGGATGCGGGTATTCCGAGTGGTTGTTTTTAATAAAATCAAAACACAAATATTTTACTTACTGACTGATTCGATAACTTCAGCTAAAAGCACGCCGTCACTGCAATCCGCCGCTAGGCTATTGACGCGTTTTTTGCTCCGGGCTTTTTCCAGGTAATGATTTGCCCAGTCGGTATAAATCTGTAACAAGTAGACAGAAAACATCATTAGTAGACTAAAGCAACAACTCAACCATACATCGATTTCTTTAGTCACTCATTGTTATCGCAGACAAACAAAGACAAGGAAGTGATTCTAACAAACAAGCCAGTTAATTGATAATTAAAATTAAACACTGACTAGTTTCTAACGAGTTTGATGACGGCAATAAAACATATCAACCGGGAAACAACTGTAGAACACCCATCAAGGCAATCATAAAATAAACAACTAATTAAAATAACTGTTTAGTAATCATTATCAGTATTTTACTTTTTATTAGAATAAAAAACAGTATTTTCAGTATCAAGTGGATAAACCGGTGTTTTTGCCACGAGATTGATTGAAAGCGGGCGTTGAATCAATCTAGCGTTTAACAACGTTTAGTCACGTAATACTTTTGCTATTTTTTCCACTTCCACTCTATTATAACGTTTAGGTTTTTGAATTTGAACTTTTATTATGATTTAATTGTTTCTACCCGTGACTAAAGTACTTTACTCACGGCTTTCGCCAACCGTGTAAAAAAACAATTTTTTGTGACTATAACCCGTCGAAAAACCGACGCTTTAAATGTAAAAGTAGAAAAATCTATTTTTTTGTAATAAATCCCATGTGTAGTAAATTAAAGTGCAATTTCAGGTTTGATAGCACTTCAACCAGTGAGTGCCACTCACCACCGCCCATCATGTCATATATGTTTGCTATTCCTAGTGCAATACTCTTGCAAATTACACCCTTGCTTGTTGTGAATATCCACGCACTTTGCGAATTTCTGTAGTGTATTGACGCAGAGATGATATATGCATTTATATTCAATTGGGGATGCAACCTGCAATTTGCAATCAAACATCACAATCATTCGTGTACTCCCTATAGAATAGAACGCAGGAAACAATCGCTTTCATGCTTAATTTCGAGATGATTTAATCAAATTTTTTAAAAGTTTCTTTTTTCAATATTGTGTAAGAGGGATTACGCATCCCCTTCAATATAGAAAACATGATATTGCAATAACTTTCCGACTCATTGCGGATGAGGCACGACAAACCAGAAAATTGCATCTCGACCCGATAAGACATTCTGTCTGCGAGTAGAAATTTAGGGTGTTTCAGTCAATTTTCACTATGAAAAGAAAAGAGATAGACATTTAGCAATTTATCCGGAAAGGTGAAACATGTAAAACCGGAAAACTCAAGTGATCCATTCAATCTACATCAATGATTACCCACATAATCTTATTACAACATATTATTCCGGTTATAATCTCATTTCCCAACCTAAAACAAAAAATACATATGCAACCCAAAATGCACCATCCTATACCATCCCTAATAGTATATAACCGCACAGAGTAAAATTGAAAGTTGGAAAACTCAAAGGAGCGGAAAATTAAAGCAGCCTTAATACTCCTGAGGGCGGCGCTAGTGTCGTCGACGCAGCCATGTAATTTTGCGGACATTTTCGAGCTGCAAAATCCTGCGGTAATCTTCCTCAACCCGTACAAGCACGCAAAGTCTAGCTGGTGGGATGATGAGGATGCCGCTGCAGTGCATAAAACTCAGCCCGATTAAACTCGGAAAATCTCCGGAGAAAGAGAGTCAAATCCGTAGACAAATCGGCCGGATATGCACGGACTGAGAATTAATGCAAAAACTTGTGTCGTGCATTTGTTACGATTAGCCAACTTAAAGTGTTAATACTCGAGGCCTTAAGGGGATGATCATAAAAATGATTATAGATTATAATTATTTAAATTAGCCTTGAACTAATCATTGCGTTACTTTTTCAGTTTTTCAGCGTGCTTATCTGGTAAACTTTGTAAAATGCAAATGAATAAATGACCCCTTCACGATTAGAGATTAACCCCGCTTGGGCAAACACCCTTCTGGACTTTCCTTACTTTACCCTTCTTTAAATCAAATCCGGACTCAACAGTTGTATTTGCATGGCTGTGCCATGATACTGGTAACAGTAGCAGTGTTAGCAAACCAAATGCAGACATCTAGAATGGTTAAGAGTGGGGGAAATAGTCAATGGACAACTAGACCTCTGACGGACATCCCTTGTTGGGTCTTTAAACCTATTCGACCGACATTTACCATACAGACCCTCTGGCTTCGACTCCAATCGACTCCAAAGTGTAAAAAAATCAATTTTGAAGAGTAAAATAGAAACATAACCTCAAAATTATCAATATATGATCCAATTGCAGTAAACAACTCTTCACTTGTCAGTTGCAATGATCATGTTGTGCCGTTATACAGTTGTTTACGTTGTTTCCGCACACGAATCCAACTCCAACGGGATAATTTCGTGCGGACGCCTTAAAACCTCCGTACACATAATAAATCTTGATTATCACGATGCGCGTCAGCGTTGATTAACGTTGATTAACGTGCTTCGATCTCACGATTACAAGCCGTAAAAAGATTTAACTCTGGGAACACATTGTCAGCTGTATTACAAAGGTGACTTGCAGGAAACAAGTTCAAACATGTTTAATGCAAATGACTAAAACCCAAAAACAACTTGATTAACACTTACTTTAAATTTCAAATTTAAAGTGGATGTAATAGGATTGAATTTGAATAATAAATCAAAGTGTAGATTAATTTAAATTTTTGTGTTAGCAGTCCATTAATTTAATTTCTGTCAATCTCTTCGATGATTCCAAAGCATTTAAAATGATGGTCGGCATGGCGTCAGTTCAATTTCACTTTCAATTGAGTTTAATCAAATTTCATCGCATCTTATCATCGATTAAATTGCTTCAAGTAAAGTCACATTATTATTTGTTTACACTAGACATTTATAAAAATTATACAGAGTGTTTTTAATCATTTTAATCAATAAAATATGTAATTTTGTTGATACACTCTGTAATTAATCGAATTCAATCCACTCATGTTTATCTCACCAGCTGTGGACATTGTCCACAGTGAATAAATGACATACCGATACGAATGACTGAATAAAACGCGAATTGCAACACAACCCTTTTGATATCATGCGATTTATCCGCGTTGGGAGACTGGGACATGGCAACGAATCTCCGCCAGCGTTTGATGACGTGCCCGTGTGGGAAATCGGCGCGCAAACGAACCAGCAAACACAGAATGTTGGACGAAGGGTGAATAATGAAGGTACATCGTGCGTAATTCACGTAATGTGCGCGTGGAATGAAGAAATCAATCAGCTGATTGATTGAAAGCTGAACAAACAGCGTCAACCACAAGTAGTTTAATTTCTACTTGAAAAAGTAATAAATCATCATCATTAATAATTAAATTTAGAGATGATGATGATGATGGAGTGGGTTTATAGATTTTTCTAGTCTGAAGGGAAAAAAAGTGGAACCTTTGAATTTGCTACGTTTGGCAGCCGACCCACGCGCGATGCGGGTAAAAGAAGCGCGCAAATCCCCCCAAAAATAGCGTTGTAAATAATGCAGGGCACGTAGCGGTCGCCATGGATTCAGGGCGCATTATTCAGGCAGTCGGCGTCCTGCGTTTTCCTGCAGAACGCCGCATCTAAAATACTGCAACAACTATTACCGCTGCGTCGTCAGGTGAAACGATCAAAGAAACGTAAGTAGAAAAAGGTGAAACTGCACAAATGTCTTTAGATCTTTTGGAAAGTAATGCTGAGTGCTGCGTGCACCAGTAAAACCCAAAAACAAATTCAAAGTTGATTTTTGTTATTTTAGTCGATCGGTAAGTGCAGGTATTGAGTGGCTATTGAAATTCATCCTTTGACAACGTTAAAAGTTTTTTCAAAAAGGATAAAAAAGTTGATAAACAGTCTGCTAGAGCATGACACCCATACGAAATAAAAGGCAAGCATTAAACTTGTGAAGGACATTACTGGAGACATTAGAACAACAAAAAGAACTCAGAGGAAAAGAAAAAGAGAAGCGTGCGGCAAAAACTATTAAACTCTAATGTGGATGCATTAACTGCTTCGCACTAGTTGGATAAATCGAGAATAGCACGGCTCATGGGGCATCCATGTGCAAAAGTTGCCAGAAGTCAGAAATGCGGATTACACACACACACACACAGGCGAGAATATTGAGGGTGAGTGAATACCACACGGAAAAAACTTCGAAAAGGAAAAGAAATTCACGAATATTCCGCATTGCAAAGGGATGTAAGATGTTATAATAGTGGCCGTAGATGTGTATGGTGCAGACGAGACAAAACAAGAGGGTGAAAATGAAAATGCCATATGGGAAAATGCCAAATATAGAATTACGCTTTGAGCCAAAGAAGTCAAGACGCAAAGCAGAAAAAGGATAGAAAAAAACACGGAAAACATTTAGAAAGATATTTTATACGGATGAAACAAGCAACATGATATTTAATAAAATTATACAAAGTGTTGAAATTATTTTTATCAAAATTCAATTTTTTACTTTTTTGAATTATTTTTAGAGAAAAAAAAACGGATAAATTACTAGAAAGGTTATAAGACAAGAAGCAACCCTATATACAACGCGTAGAACACATGGGGTGCGAAAACACTGTCAGAGTTTAATAAATGCGTTAAGTGCACAGTCGTGTTGTTTATGCCAGGCGCGCATTCCCTGTGTTATAATATTTATATCCTCACGCAGTGACAGGAATAAGTCATCCCTACGTGCGCAAACAAAAATAAAAACAAAATAAAACCAAACAAGCTAAATTTGGTTAATTAAAAAAATAAAAACAAAATAAATTTCTATGAAATAAAAATATTTGAATTTAGTAAGTAATGCTTTGTTGAAAATAATTTAATAGAGTAGTTTTCACTTAAAGTATATTTACGCACATCAAACTAGTTATAGCGAATTAGAATGAAAGCAAACACCACCGAAACGAGCGCAGTTAATATTAACATTTGGCACGCAGCCAATCTTTCGATTGCTATTGCCATTTGAAGAGCACTACAAGCCACCTAATGCAATCGTTTTCTATTCAAAGCTTTCTTTAGCATATCCA